ACTAAACGCCAGTTTTTACTGTCACTTGTTGATTTTTTAGGCACTAAAAGTATAGGTGAATTATATGGGCTTCTTGATGGTTGTATTATGTCATCTTCAAGTAATTTTTTTACTTGAGATTTGAAGTCGTCGTTATGGCAGTGAGGTAACCTATAGTTTTTTATATAAGTTGGGATGTTATCTTCATCTAAATGAAAAATATGTTGGTATTTGGATATTATGGGCAATATCGTTCCAGTGTCATCATCATTACCTAATTGTAATTCATATAAAATTTTGTGTAGTCTATTATTGTTAATAGCACTATTATTCGTTTGCAGGATATTATAATATTGTAAGGGTTGTGACTTCAGTTGTAATTTATTTACCATATAGTAACATTGTGATCATTAGTATTCACAATTCTTATGTGGCAATTAACCCTTGCTGGTACTATTGTATTGGTCAAGAAGTCACCTTTACTGATTTCTTTATTATATAATACAGTTTCTTCATCAAAGTGTATTTCTATTGGTAAGACACGCTTCGTTTTTGCTTCAATAGTAATCAGCTTGCATACTATTGATATTTCTGCTTGTTTATTACCTGATTGTGTGTTTAAAGTGAAAGAATAATAATTAATGACTCCCATATAAGTTGTTAGAAAGTCTCTTTCCAAAATACTGTCTGCCTCGATTGGAAAATCCTCTGTTAATACTGCGAAAGGGTGAGTTATCTTTATTCTTTCCAACAGTAAAGTTAATTTGAATGTTCCTAGGGATAGTACATGTTCACTCGTTATACCTGTAAGTTTATATGTGTAGAGTACTTAAATAATACATTACCGAAAAGTGCACAAGGCAACACTGTTTATTGTGCACTGCTTTTAGTTAGTCGTTCATGAGGCAGTTGGCTTCTAGACATAAGGTGAACACGTTGTTAAGAATACTAATAAATAATATCTAAGATATTACACTGGCGACGAGGATGAACCCTCAATTTGTGCAGATAGTGGGTAAAATCCCACATTTTGATTGTGACCATAATCAATGACACATTTTTAAATCGCAAATTAAACAATTTTTTATTGTGAATAATATTGAGGTGGGCAAGAAAAAGGCGATATTGTTAACAGCAATATCGGAAAAATCGTATCAACTGCTGCAGAATTTATTATATTCAAAGAAAGCAGATGACGACATCACTACGTTTATTAATTGTTTGGACGTGTTTGATAAACACTTCACGGTGCCAACATCAACTTTTGCGGAACGATATAAATTTTATTCTGCGAATAAAAGTTCAGCAGAAAGTATAAATGAGTGGGCAGTGCGTGTCAGATCACTTGCAGTTAATTGCAATTTTGCTGATAGCTTGGACACGGCGATACGAGACAAATTTGTGATGGGGCTTGACGCAAACACATGCTCATGACAGAAAGTTATCGATATCGGCAATGCAGCGGAGTATATGCAAAAGCAGCACGAGGTGACAATAAAGCAGGAGATTGGCGGTGAGTTGTTATATATGAATAACGGGAGAAGCAGAGGCTCAAAAGTTCAGCAACAACAAAAGCAAAGTGGACAGTCGCAGTACCAACAACAAATACTATGTACAGTGTGTGGATACAAAAATCATATGGCTTCGGAGTGCTGGTATAGAAATTATAAATGCAAAAAATGTAACGTAATAGGTCATTTGAAAAAAATGTGTAATTCTAGTCAACAGTTACAAGATCAAAAACAGTTTAATTTTGTACAGACTGGTGAAGCTGTCTTGTATGCATTGAATGGCGGGGGTAGTGAGCTTATAATAGTCACAGTATACATTGAAAATATGCCGATAAAATTAGAACTGGATACGGGGTCCACTTATAGTATTATGGCGTTAAATACATTTGAAAAAAATTTTAAATCAAAACCAATTGAAAAAACTAGCATTGCGCTTAAGTCTTATACAGGTGAGCCAATATTACCAACTGGTAGGTGTGATTTGTGTATAACATATAACGGTAAAACCGATATAATTAAATTCCTAATAATAAAAGGAGGAGGTCCTCCACTGTTAGGCCGTAATTTTATTACAACATTTAAACCTAAAGTCGCTGAAATTTTTAGCTTAGAAACAGATCAAAAAGAAGAAATTGTACAAATATTTAAAAGCTTGTTTGACTGTGGGTTAGGCCGGTTCATAGAAAGTAAAGCAAAACTAAATCTTAAGGATGAGGCCAGACCAAAATTTTGCAAACCTAGACCCGTGCCATTGGCTATCAAACCTAAAGTTGAAAAGAAATTGAACCATTTAGTTAATATAGGTGTGCTTAAGCCGGTGACATATAGTGATTGGGGAACACCAATTGTACCAGTGTTAAAGAAAAATGGTGAAGTTAGAATTTGTGGTGATTTTAAAATCACAGTTAACCCCAATTTAATTGTAGAAAAATATCCCTTACCCCGTATTGAAGATATTTTCGCTAAATTAGAGGGCGGGGTTGAATTTTCAAAGTTAGATATGTCAATGGCATATCAGCAGATCGAATTAGATGATCAAGCGAAAGAATTTACAACTATTTCTACTGCTAAAGGACTCTTTCAATATAATCGATTAGTATATGGACTGGCATCAGCACCAGCCATTTTTCAAAAAATAATGGACAAACTATTGACATTTTAATAACTGCGTCGAATAGGCAATTACACAGAGAGAGACTGATAAAGGTTTTAACAATATTAAGAGATGCGGGACTTAAATTAGCACGGGAGAAGTGTACATTTTTTTCTGATAAACTTAATTATCTAGGTCATATCATTGACAAAAATGGGCTGCACACTTGTCCGCACAAGGTCAAGGATATCGAAAAAATGCCTTATCCTACAAGTGTTAAAGAATTTCAAAGTTTTTTAGGAGTGATTAATTTTTATAGGAAATTTATGGCCGAGGTTACAAGTACGTGTGCACCCTTATATGATTTGTTGAAAACATCAGACACCTTTGAATTTACAACATTGCATAAGGAAGCAGTAGATAATCTGAAAAACGGGTTGAGTAAAAGTACAGTTTTAGCTTATTTTGACCCTAAATGCAAAACAAGAGCGACTGTAGATGCCAGTCCTATTGGAGTGGCGGCAGTGTTGTCACAGGTATTGGAAAATGGTATTGAAGTTCCAATTGAATTCGCTTCACGAAAACTCTCAGAAGTGGAACAGCATTATTCACAGCTAGACAAGGAGGCGTTAGCAATCTTGTTTGGAGTGAAAAAATTTCACCACTACATTTATGGAAGATTATTCACATTAATAACAGATAATAAACCATTAGAGTATATTTTCGGTCCCAAAAAGGGCATACCAGTAATGGCCGCAAACAGGCTGCAACGCATTGCTATAGCTTTAATATGTTTACATGTTTAATATTGTTCATGTAAAATCGCAAGCTAATATAGCTGATTATTTCTCAAGGCACCCCAACAGTGAGGATAGTGTGTCGTATTCATCAGGAAACTTAGCTTTAAATTTCGTTAAAGAGGTCAATCAGTTGCAACTTAGCATTGATAAAATTAGGGAACATTCAAAAAACGATAGAGTCTTAACCCAGATAAAAGAATTTGTACAGACGGAGTGGCCTACAAATTGTAGCGATCCCGATTTAAAACCATTTTTTTCACGAAAGTATGAAATTTATGAAGAAGATAGCTGTTTCTTTTATGGTTACAGAATTATTATTCCCAGCAGTCTTCAAAAGTCGGTTTGTAAATTTTTGCATGAAACGCATTTGGGTATTAATAAAATTAAAAGTATGGCTAGAGAGTGTTGCTGGTGGCCTAATCAAAATGTAGATTTAGAAAAAATCGTAAAAAATTGCGACTCGTGTTTAATGAACAGAACTAATCCTCCCAAAAGTGAATTGATTAACTGGAAATGGCCGAAACAACCGTGGCATCGTATTCATGTTGATTTTTTCGGACCATTTATGAAAAGATGGTGTTTAGTTGTAGTTGACAGTTATAGTAAATGGGTTGAATGTATTGATATGGGGACAAACATCACATCGCGAAGTACCATTATGGTCCTGAGAGAATTATTTGCTCGGTTTGGGTTGCCAAAAATAATGGTTTCGGATAATGGAACTTCGTTTGTGTCAAATGAATTTCAAATTTCATAATGAACGAATAAAACATATCACAACACCAGTGGGTAATCCTGCATCAAACAGGCAGGCCGAAAATACGGTCAAGACGATCAAAAGCGCTTTAAAGAAATATTTATACCAGGTTGATCCCTCAGAATTTTCAACAGCATTGTCTAGATTTTTACTTGATTATAGGAATACAAAGCATACTAGTACAGGTGTTGCCCCAGCACAGTTAATGTTTGGAAGACAGCTTCGTACTAGACTTGATCTTATTAATCCTAAGAGAAGATCTGAAATTGTAAACATTAAAAAAATTAAGCAAAATGTTCTTAATAATCTGCAAAAACAAAAAAATTATTTCAAAGGGAGTAAAAAAACTCAATTTTGTATAGAGGATGTAGTAATGGTTAAGGATTATTCTGTACCAGGTAGAGTTTCATGGGCTAAAGATATAATTAAAAAGAAAATTGGCAAACAAACTTATATTGTAAAATTATTAAACACAGATAGAATCTGGAAAAGACATGTAAACCAAATGATCAAATGTAATGCAAATGTTAACAAAAATGTATCAGATAAAAAAAATTATGTTAACGAGTTAACAAAGTTGCAGCCGATATCTTTAAAATCATTTGAAAATGTAAATAATGGAACTGATAGTATTAGTCAAAACAGTATTGTAACAGCTGCAACTTATAATGAAATACAAAAAACTCAAAGATATAATTTAAGACCTAGAAATAAGTAATCACAACCAAAGTTCATGTAAGCAAAATTGTGAAGTTATAAGAGTATATTAATCATAATTAAGTATTAGTCTTAAGATCCAATAAAAATGAAATGCCTACTATGAACGGCTAGGGGGGGTATTGTAGAGTACTTAAATAATACATTACCGAAAAGTGCACAAGGCAACACTGTTTATTGTGCACTGCTTTTAGTTAGTCGTTCATGAGGTAGTTGGTTTCTAGACATAAGATGAACACGTTGTTAAGAATACTAATAAATAATATCTAAGATATTACAATATGTATTGCAAGAGTTATAGTCAACGTTAAGGTTTTTAATAATACACACTGCGGCGCCAGTATCTATTAATAATCTTATAATAATGTTTAATTCAGAACATAAAATTGAAATATAGTTAGACAGGGTTTGATTTAGAATTTTCACAGTATTTAATTTCGAACCGGCGGATGGTTCTCCATTTCCACCTCTGGTGGCTCGTAGTTGTCCTGGGCATTTGTTATACGCACACGTCTATTTGGTATATTACGATTATTTGATGCGCTTCTATTGTTGTACCAGTTGCTGTTGCATTATAATTGCTTTGATTTCTAGTATTTTGATACCTATGATTTCCATTCCAGTTTGAGTGTATATTATTAATATTAAATTATTAATATTATTAATATTAATATTTCGATTTACGAAGGACCGAGAAGAATCCTTTACGCTGACCAAAAAATTGTTGAGAGCCAAATACAAGATTGGTTAAGTGATGGTATTATTCAAGAGAGCAATTCCGATTTCGCATCACCTGTAGTATTGGTTTCCAAGAAGGGTGGAACTAAACGCCTCTGTTGTGATTATAGAAAATTGAATAAATAATAATAAGAGACAATTTCCCTATGGCAATTATAGACGATATGTTGGCCAGGTTACAAACAGCAAAAGTGTACACTACGTTAGACTTACAGAATGGTGTGATGGTATTTGGTTTGTACATTTGCATACAAATTGTACACACATACATTGCTTACAATTTTGCATAACTATATTCAATGCACAAAACCAACAAAAAGTAATGCATACATATTCCCTTAAAACAAAAACAAAAAGAAGATATCCATACACATTCGCTTGTAGCAAAACACAAGGAACTATCGCATAAGCGAGAACGTTGCATATAAGTTAAATATTCTTTTATTTGATCAGAAATATTGATGTTGCTTCTTCGGAACCTAAAGCAGAAGAGACCGAGCGCACTTTTGCGAAGTTGAGAGCTACCGAAACCAAACGGGACTTTTCCAGTCAAACAAGTGGATGTCCTGTTTGGTAGCAACCATGCGTTCAAACAATATCGCATGATTCCTCCGTTAATGAAACTAAGCACAGGGCCGGATTTGGGGTACGCGTGTGTTAACTTATATTCCAAACGCATAATAGTCAAAAATGTAAAATCGACTATTAGCAAGCAATCAAAATGAAACGATTTTTGCTGTTGCTAATGCATATTCTTTTTTCATTTTGTTATGCAATGGTCAATATTTATGCATTAGTCAAAATTTGATTGCTTTTGCTAATTCTCAGCAAGCAATTCAAACCCTGCTTAAGAATTTATCAATCAATATTTTAGGCGTCCTTTCGCGTATTTATTTATTTTATTTAATTAGCATAAGTTTGTTATTTAACTACACAATTGCACAAATTTTTAAATTTGTGTCTTGTAATTTGATTAGTTATTCTACCCGTATGCAAAACTTTTCTTGTAAATTTATTTTGAGTTTTTGAGCCTTATTTGCTGTCTCTATCAGCTGTTTTCAAGTGTATGTGATTTAGAGAAAAGTAAACAAATTCGAAAACAAATCCAGAATTCACTTCTGTTTTTTTACAAAAAGATATAAATATAATTGTCGGGCACTATTTTTTTTTTGTTGTGTTCTTGTTTAAGAGTCACTGTCTCGATTGTTTGTAATGAGTTTAATATCACTTATTATGTGTTTCACTTAGAAAACACCGAAAGTAGCGGAGTGATTTCTTTTGGCGCCAAGTACTTGCGACGTGATAATTAATCTGTGTTGAATAAATCGAATTTTACGTTATTTAATAATTAATTACTTAAACCGTATTTACAACCATTACAAGATCTAAATTAAAAGGTAAGTCAAAAATTGTATTTGTTATGAAGACAACAGCATACGAATATCGTTATTGTCAGCAACAACACGTTTGATCATTTGTATCAAAAAGTTACCTATTTGCATTAAATGATAGTAAGGACTAGTGGTGCCAAACTTCGTTACTTTTGTGTATTTGTAACAACCCGTTACTTTTCGAGTATGTATTCGTTACTCAGTATTCGTTACTGCGGTTTCGTTACTGCGTTTTCGTTACTGCGCTTTCGTTACTGTGCATTCGTTACTGAAGTTTAAATGCTTTTTTTCGGCAATAAAAGAAATTTTTAAAAGCATATACACTTAGCAGAAAAACTCTGCGTACATAAAGTAAATTTTGTTTCAACATATAAAAAATTACTAAATAAATAAATTTTTTAAATTAATTTTATTTTTGGTTAGTACTTTTATTTGTTATCTTCATTTTAAGGTAAAAATTATTTCTAACAGATTAGTAGAAAAATTATAATAATTAAAAATGTAAAAAATCAGCGCTTTCGGTGGCAGAAAAAGTCTGCGTACAAGAGTTTAAAAAGCGTCGAAATATATTATTTTTAAAAAGATTTTATATTTTCAGTAACTTGTTGGATAACCTTTACTTTTTACGACCTTCATAAGTCGTTTTGGTATCGAATTGACCAGCTT